ACTGTTTAATGAGAAACTATTTGTTCTATAAACCTTCATCTAAAGTACAATAAAAAAAAAAAGAGAGATGGGAGAGTACTGACATGTCATGGGGTTGGTAACCCATGTCACAAAACAGTATGAGTACTAATTGTTTAATGAGAAGCTAGTTTGTTCTATAAACCTTCATCTCAAGTTCAATAAAATAAATATTTAAAAATATGTATACCATGGCTTGGGTCAGGCACACCTTAGTCCTCAAGATGACATCTTTGTTTTCTAACACTTTAAAGAGGTCTTTTGCAGCAGATTTGTCCAATGCAATCTGTCACATTCATTACTGTTGTTAGGTGCCGTCGAGTCGGTTTCGACTCATAGCAACCCTATGTATATTCATTAGTGTAGTGACGATAGTTCTAGTTCTCCCCTGTCCCCTGCCTACAGTGAAGTTAATCATGACCATCAGGTGACTTGCTCTGGCCAATAAAATGTGAGCAAAAGTGGCATATGTCTCTTTTAGATAAGTTTCAACAGCTAGTGTGTGACATGCCAAGCTTTATTTTCTTCTGTCAGTCACCAGAAATGCTCAAATGGTGGCTGTTCTATCAACACGGGTATTATAGTTATCTGTCCCTACATTAGGAGTCTCTGGGTGATGTAAATAGTTAATATGTTTGGCTGCTAATGAAAAGGTTGGGGGTTAGGGTCCACCAAAACACCTCAGAAGAAAGGCCTGGCAAGCTACTTTAAAAAAATCAGCCACTGAAAACCCTACGGAGCACAGTTCTACTGATACACAGTGGGTCAGAATTGGCTCTACAGCAACTGGGAAAAAAAAAAGTCCCTACATTACCCCATATATTCATCAGGGGTGGAAAACAGGTAACTTATCACATGCCGACTATTACAGAGGTTACCACTACTGAACATTACTCAGAGATCATGGAATTAGAGCTTAACATAATGACTAAATGAGATTTTTGGATTATTTTCAGGGGGAAGGGCCAAGGAAGAACTACATGTAGGAAAGAAAATATTTGTGGATAAGAAAGGTGGACTGTCCAACTGTTTCCAGTTCTCTCTTATACACATTAAAAGTATACTTCCCTATTTCCTTGAATTAGGTATTGCCATGACTTGACTTGGTCAATGAATGTGCAAAGCAACACTGTAACTTCTGAAGCTTTTAGAGCTAATACATGACACATCTTCCCTCTGCTATGATGATTGACAACACTCAAAATGGTACCTTCTCTGTCAGTCCAAGTCCCACGAAGAGGATAACAGGGGGCAAAGCCCCCAGCTGATCTGTAACACACTTGTAGCTTGAACATAAAATAAAACGCTGTTTTAAACCTCTGAAAATTTTGGGATTGTTATTAATTAATAGTATGCCTGGTCTTATTAACAGCTAGAAAGAAAGTGACCTGAACATAAACACATATCCTAGATTTTAAAACAGGATATTTCAGAGAATTCACAGGAAATCGACACAGTTTCGCTGTAGGAAGAGTCTAAAACAGAAGGTGATTCTTAAAAATGCAATTGTCTATAACCACAATAGGTGCCAATTCCAAAAGAACGGGAAAGTCATAGCCAAATGTTTGCCACAGCATGTTTTCCAATACCACACTCACACAACTCCCAACAACGTACAGATTCTTTCCCCTTTGGGCCTGGAAGGGGCCCTCTATTCTTCAGTATAATGTTCCTGACAGAACTGATCAGGGTTAGTATGATGAAATTTCTGTCTTATTCCTAAACTCAAAACAAGTATGCGTGTACAGGTAATTTAAAAGATGGAAAGAACGAATGACATATAACTGAGGACAAATACTAGAGGATAACAAGCACTGTAAGAGAGGATCAGTAAGGCTATATAGCTTGCTAATAAAATGCTAAGGGAAACAAAAGGTTGTTTTGTTCCACACCAGAATACTGAAAAAGCCCTCAGGGAGTGGTGAGGAAGAAGTTATTGTTGTTAGTTGCTGTCCAGTCAGCTCCGACTCATGGCAACCCCATGTACAACAGAACAAAACGTTGCACAGTCCTGCACCATCTTCATGATCAAGGGTAAGTTTGAGTCCACTGTTGCAGCCATTGTGTCAACCCATCTCACTGAGGGTTTCCCTCACCTTTACCTGGCCCTCTACTTTACCAAACATGATGTCCTTCTCCAGAAATCGGTCTCTCCTTATGACATGTCCAAAATAAGCAAGTCTAAGTCTCGGACAATATTCTGTGATCCACGGAACTTTCACTGGCTAATTTTCAGATGTAGATTGCCAGGACATTCTTTCTAGTCTTAGTCTAGAAGCTCCACTGAAACCTGTCCACCATGGGTGACCCTGCTGATATTTGAAATACCAGTGGCAATAGTTTCCAGCATCATAGCAACATGCAGGCCACCACAGTATGACAAACTGTAAGATGGGTGGTGAGAGAAGAAAGTACTTCAAAAGAAAAATACTGGTCTTTGTGCCAGTAAGGGGGGTAGGAGGAATTGCCTTTGGTGTTCCTTAGGTGGATCCAGCACCTCATGGCCCTCATCAGCTAGATCAATCCTATTTTGGAATTAGGTCCTATATACAATAATACTTGGCAAACAGTCCTGTTTTTAAATGTTTGAACAACTACTGTACTAATCTGTTCCTCTAGAACAACAATATTCAACCATTATGCATTTGGACATATTTCAAATTTTAAAATTTTTAGCAGTAAACTATTCTAGAAGACTCTTGGTAAGTTTTCCCTGTATGGGTCTAAAGTCCCCTTATGATTAACCATAAAATTAATGGCTTTCCCTCTCAGGAAAAAGAAGAAATTAACAACTGTAACCATTAAACAAATTATACCAAGATCTGTGGGCACCATTCTCTGGGAAAAGACACGGCATTATTTTGCAACAAATGGGGCATAAAATGCTTACAAAGTTCCCATAAGAACATTCTGTCAAAAATTAGCTTACTTACAGTTCACTGCTGCTACTGAGAACAGCAAGAACCTGCTTACTGAACCAGCCTCAAATAAAATGTTGATTAGACCTCAATACAGCTTATCATTTAAGACCCAAGGGAGGCAAAAAAAAAGAGTCGACTCTCTGCAGTTGAGGCAAAACCCTCTGTCTGCACCATGAAGGAGCAAGTAGGAGGCAATCCAGACTTGCTCTGATACTTAAAAAAAATTAAAAATTAAAAAATTTTCATAAGCAAAGCCCTAACACTTGCGTGGGTACTATGCAGATATTGTTTACTATCACTTTGAATAGAGAACACAGGAGAAATATATTTCCTGGTAAGACCATCCATGACCTAAAGCCTTCATTCACCATGTTCATTATGGAAGACACAAAAACAGGACATGCCAAAATACGGGAGTGACCTGATTTTGACAAGTGCCTAAAATCACATAAATGTGATTTTGTTTAATCAATGTGCTTAAGCACCTGTCTGCAATCAATTACCTCAACTGCTGTCATGAGCACTCTATCCCCTATTTTAATAGAACTATGTACTGCCCTAACCACATTCACTAAGAGTCCATGAGGTGAAGTTTACAAGCTCCAATAAAGGTGAGATCCTTCTCTAAATCACTGATGTTGGACTGTTATTGTTACTTGTTGTCAAGTCAGTTCTGACTCATGCCAACCCCAAGTGTGCAGAGTAGAACTGTTCCACAGGGTTTTCAAGGCTGTGACCTTTCGGAAGCAAATCAACAGGCCTGTCTTTCGAGGTGCTTCTGAGTGGGTTCGAACCACGAATCTTTCAGCTAGTAGTCTAGCGCTTAACCATTTGTGCCACCCAGGTTTAGGCCTATTAACTTCTTACAGGAAGTTGTACGTTATGCTTCACTGAACAGCCTACTTGGCTGAATGTTTCATCTGACATCCCCATAACAGTGCCAGTCCTATACATCCATCATAATGTCAACACACCTATAAAGAATCCAAACCATACTACTATGCGCTGCCTGGGTGAACTACTGTCCTAGAATCTGAAGTACAAAAAGAGATTTTAAAGTTCCCTGTGGAACATTTAGTAGAAAGAAGGGAGTAACACCCATCCTAGGCAAAAGTATTAGTACAAAGGATGGTGAGTTAAGAAAGGATAGGTCTTGGTTTCTGTAGTAAATGTAGCAGTGTCTTTCACAGGGATACTGAACTTAATCTAAGAACACAAATTTCCTCTTCATTTTGCACTACTCTGCTCATTTTATTATCAAACAAAAAAGTCAACAAATTTTATGTGCCAGCCCAATATTCGTTGGGAGATCTATTTATTCCTCACTTATTTACAGCAGTTACATAATGTATCATTTATTTTGCATCTCTGTCAGCCTCAGAGTATACATGCGGAATTTAAGGAGCAGACTATTCCAATTCTCTTGACATTCAAAGACTTACGGTTCTGTTTCTGCCTTTTTTCCTAACTTTCTGCCCTGAGCATCTTCTCAAAATCTAAGTTTCAAATTACCAACTGCCTCCCTACTCACAGATAGCTTCAATAGCCACTTCATCCTGATACCACTCCTCCTGGAGGGACATATCCCGAGGGAGGGAAGGGTTTTTTGAGTTTCGGTTCGCCCCTCTCCTCATTGCAGGGCTCACGTCTGGGACGTAGTATTGTGAAGTCACTGCATCATCTTAACCCTAGAAGCTTTTTCCTGCCGCTCACGCTAGGGAGGGGAAAAAGAAAGAACGAAAGCAAAATGCTCCTTAGGCGGATCCAGAGGCGGGTATGCAGTCCAGCTGGGCGGTGGAGCCCTTGCTGGAGGAAAACCTCCTGGCCTGAATCTGTGTCCCTGAAGGCAGAAATCACATCCCGCGCCTGAAGGACCCGCGCTGCCACCTACCTGCCCGAGACCTCCGTGCAAGACCTGCGGGCAAGGACCCAGGCGGTCGCCGCCGGTGCGCGGCCGACACTTGCCACCACGCGGGAGGCAGAAGGCAGGACAGTGTTCGGCTCGGCAGGGCTTGGCTAGGCCCAGGTCGCCAGACACCAAACAGCGTCGCCTACCTGCGCCTGCGGCTGCGACTCACTAAACGAAATCAGCCTCCTGGGCAAAAACAACCCGAGGCTCCTCCCCCTCCTCGTGTCCCCTACGTGGGGGAGGGGGCTCTCCAGCCAATGGGAAGCGCAAAGGGAGGAGCAAGAGCCACCAGAGGTGACAGGAGACGATAGAAACCTCCGGCCGGCGCTAGCAGGCCGTGCAGTTGCTGGGCCAATCAGCAGCGTGGGTGGGAAGTAAAGGGGAGGAGAAAGCAGGGAAAGTAGGAACCCAATCAGATCTTGGGACACTCGAGCGACGGGTCCTGCGGCCTCTGGCCTTCCGAGTGAGGCTCTCAGGGGGCGTGCCCGCCCGGGCCAATCGGCGCGAGCCCACTGTGCGGAGCGAGCGCCTCAAATGCTCGGGTTTCTCAGCTGATTGTCTCCAGCCGAGAGTTGTTTTTTGCAGCTACGGAGTCGAGCCGCAGCAGGAGGAGCCGAGACCCCAGGGGGGCGGGGAACAGGAGGCGGGGTCGGGGGAGCCGCCGCTGCTCTGCGCGGGGTTCTGGGTCCTGTCACGGCTCTTCCTGGGGTTGGAGGCTGGGGTGGGTGGGGGGTAAGTGGGAAATCCTTCTGCTCTTCGACGGCGGTTCTGAGCCTGGCCCCTTCCTTCCCGCTCTCCCTCGCCCGCCCACCAGTCCTCTCATGAGGGTGACCGTGCCGGGTCCCGCGGCCGCTGCTGCCGCCCCCGCCGCCGGCCGTGAGCCCTTGACGCCCGGCGGAGGCGGTGAGGGTGGAGGCGCCGTCGCTGCTGCCTCAGGCGCCGCGGTGCCGGGCTCGGTGCAGTTGGCGCTGAGCGTCCTGCACGCCCTGCTGTACGCCGCGCTCTTCGCCTTTGCCTACCTGCAGCTGTGGCGGCTGCTCCTGTACCGCGAGCGGCGGCTGAGTTACCAGAGCCTCTGCCTCTTCCTCTGTCTCCTGTGGGCAGCGCTCAGAACCACCCTCTTCTCTGCCGCCTTCTCCCTCAGCGGCTCCCTGCCCCTGCTCCGGCCGCCCGCTCACCTGCACTTCTTCCCGCACTGGCTGCTCTACTGCTTCCCTTCCTGTCTCCAGTTCTCCACTCTCTGTCTCCTCAACCTCTACCTGGCGGAGGTAAGGCGGGAGGACCGACATGCGGCCCCGGGCAGGTGAACGGGCGCGCCTCGATCCTCGGACTGAGGACCGGGGGAGGGGGACAGTGGGAGGCGAACTGGAGAGTAGCCTGGGGGAACAGGCACGCCTGGAGTGTGCACCGATGTTGTCGCCTAAACTTAAGCAGCTGATTGACTCGGTTACTGAGGGAGCTGGGGAGGGGGATCGAGTAAGAGTGTATGTGTTCTGACAACTTAAAACAGCAAAACAACCCTTTGTTCAGTGTTCTGGCCCCCTTAAGGTAAGGCGTTGGTGGCACCAACAAAGTGGCATCGCAAGAAGTAGCAGCCCCGGTAGCTCTGCCGAAGCTGGACTGTGTTGAGGGAGATTGGATGCTGAGGTAGCAGCAGCCCTGCTGAAGCTGGACTGCTGCCAGCCATTACGTCACCAGGCAGAGCTGTTCCTCTGCTATTGTTGCTGCGTTTCTTTTATTAGAAGCTTATATTCCCTCCTGCATCTCCTTTCCTGTGGCTCGATAAGCCTCACACAAATGCCGTTCAATAGTTCCCCAACAGGGTTAATAATAACTAATGCTGAGGGTCAGTATAAGGACCTCCGTAAAAACCCTTTATTTTTGTCCCATTTGCTTCATGCTTTGGCAGTTTATCCTACCTTTTACAGCCTAGTCTTTCTTGGAGCTAGTTAATAGGGAAAATACTAGCTTAACCTGTGCCTATTACAGAAACAAACCACCAAACTGTTTTTTGCAATAACTTGTTTAATAGCTGGAACCTAATCACACCCCCTTTCTCTTTTATGGGAATTGCTGGTTGGATTGCATTGTTCGGTAGCGCTTAGGTATTTGACCCATTTCAAACAGATTTGGGAGTGTAGGGC